ATTGGTCTGATGACGAATTGCTGAAAACACGTGTTTGCCATTATGACTTCTTAATTGTAAAATGGGAATATTTGCAGAATTTATGGTATTTCCAGTCTGTGGGATATGAGTGAGACGTGGTTGCTACGACTGATTCTGCCTCCGTTCTTGCGGACTCTGTCTTGACACTGGGCTCGGGCGGGTGATGGAAGAGAGAATGCGGTAGATGCAACGCAAGTCAAATACCTTTTAGATTAATCCGCGTCCAGGTCACCGTTCCTGCACAACCACCAGGCTGTGGGTGCACACGGGTTAGATCTCGTCGAAATCGACGATCGAACATGTGCCGCTATAGAAAATAGGTATGACAGGTGCCAAATTCCAGGACGGTTGCGGTTAGGGTTAGGATTCGAGCTAAGGTAGGCTTACAGATTCCGCACTCAGGTTGCGAAACATGATCATCCCGTTTTGCCTTATCTAAAGTTCTGCAGATGGTCACACAGCGAGGCTATTTCTGGCTTAGTAGGCATCATCAGTCAGCCTACCCAAGTTCAGCTTTTAGGGCGCATGAACCTCGGGCCCACGTTCTCGAGTCGTTGGGTCTTATTAAGTCCGACGATCGAAAAAATGAGCTATGGACTCGTTGTCCTCTCCGTCATCATCGGGAATGTTAACTATAGCATTGCCGGCAACGACAAGGGACGTTGGAATGGGCCCTTCTGGCTCTTTAGCCATCGTCAGTTAGTCACACCCAACACTAAGTGGTACCCCACCAGCGGCTCGAGCTCGCGACCTTTTCAATCAGTCTAACGCCCTAACCGTTGAGCCATGAGCCCGTTCATCAATCGTTAATGGAACTCACCCATCCCGTTCTGCCTTGGAGCTTCCTCTCGAGTCTTGAAAGCGGCCGCACCGTGGCTAGTAGTTTAGGTAGATAGCATCGCACGTCGACTATGTTGGAACGCGTTCACCGTTCGATGACCAAGGGCGGGCGAGAGTGCGGTAGGTGCTGTGCAAGTCTATTACCATTTCAATCTAATCCACGCGTAAGGCACTGTCCCTACACCACCACCAGACTGGAGCGCATGGTGGACATCGTCGGAGTCGGCGGTCGAACCGTCGTGTGTGCACACGTGAGAGACAAGTAAGCAACGATTTGAGCCCTCTCGCTGCGATGTAAGATCCGTCAGTGAATCTGCTATTGAAACGCCTGCCCTTATTACCTTCTCCCTAGACCCTTGATTTTTTGCCTTACTCGCCGGTCCACTCGCCTCTATCGTGTGTCAGGGTGGAGATGGAGCGGGTCAAACGCCTGTGTGTGGCCTATAGGGATGAAGCTTCGTGGACGCCTGTTGGCGATCATGGCCCGCGCTCTCGAGAAGAACTCAGTGCCGCCCTCTCGGATAGCCTCGCTAGAGGTATTTCCTGGATGTTCTCTTACTCTTTATTTCCAACGCGCCATCAATTTCTATTACAATTAATGCACTACTCGTGATAAGTGAGTAGCCATGTTTGATTATTCTTTCGTCTTCTAGCCACATCGTTACCAATGAGGAAATCAAAGGCGTTCGCCTACCTTTCCCTTAATAAAACTGAACTGAAAATCCCACTGCACACAATCCTGGTGAGCGGTGCGCTCGCCTAACACAGACTCTACAGTCGGTGTAGGATGTCTTCTTGTTGCGGCAACTAACAATGAATAGTACCCCGAATATTGTCAACCATTTGGTCGTGTGGAGACCCGCTTAAATGTGTACGGTGAAGCGTGTTAGTCCAGGAGGTAAGGCTGCTCCTAAGCTCCTTCTGCATGCAGCTCCTATACGACATGTGTGGTGCGAGTCTGAGACTACAGTATTCGCCGGTTATTAAGCCCACCTCGGGCC